GGACGGGAACGAGATATCCAGTACCGAAAAAAGCCACATTGAAAAATCATGGCATGGATCAACTCTGGAAGTCTTCTTCTATGGTGTAGGAAAATTTAGATTCATTCCGACTCTGACCCCTACAAAGTTATACTTTAAATGGATCCATTGCTACCTAAAGTTACCTAACGTAATGGACCAAAAGGCACACCTCCGAATTCTGAATTAAAAGCCCCTACGCGAAATCAACCACACAATTTCAGGATAATTCATAGATAATCCCGTGGTTAGTCGTAGCGATAGAGATACCGATACAAGCTTCGCGAGTCAGTTTGTTTAAATTTTAAAAGCATTCTATGAAGTACACTAAGTCGAAAGCGGCAAAGAATTTGTTGAATTAACCCATGTGCCATCCCGTGGATACAGCGTTCAGGCCTCGGTCTCATTTATTGCCAGGATTTGGGATTGATTGGTGCTCGCGAGGCTGCATGGTTACCATGAACATTTGGTGTGACGTGTGCGGTCGGCTGTCAAACAGTAGCGGTGACTTGAGCAGTTCTGCACAATCTGTGGCTGTATTATGGCTGAACCACGTATGATATATCATACAGAACAGACACCTCACCCATGCATTTTTAAAAACCTTTTTTCTAACATCCAAAGACGATGAAGCATAGCAGTGGCAAGTATTTTTAAATTGATTTAAGGTAGATGTATAAATTAATATACTATAATTAATAACGTATATAATGAATGATTACATAATTTAAGTACTATTATAATGAATAGTTCATATTACATATTATATAATTAATAACTAATTATATTATATAATTAATAACTAATTATATTATATAATTAATAACTAATTATATAATAACTATAAAACCAATTAAAAAATGAAACCTAGGTCACATTCATAGTAGCAGCCAGTGTAGACAGATAGATAACACCAATAAAAAGCCTTCCTCCTACCTTCCCACTAATACTTTGACATCCCTAAAAATAGTATCAGAGAAACAGAGACAGGTAGGGGAGGGTTAGAGCACTAATTTCACCACCCAGAGGTAAGTGTTCAAAATAGATATTAAGGGTACAAAAATAGTGAGAAAAAAATGAGTAAGACCTAATATTTGATAGCACAACAGGGTGGCCATAGTCAGTAATAATTCAGTCACACATTTTAAAATAACTAGGAGTATAATTGGATTGTTTGTAACACAAAGGATTAAAGGTTGAGGGGATGGATACCCCATTTTCCATGATGCAATTACTACTCATTGCATGCCTGTGTCAAAACTTCTCATGTACCTCATGCATATTAGACTTACTATGGATCTCCAAAAAGTAAAAATTAAACATTTTAAACATAGATATTGAGTTACACAAGTAAAATTCCTATTATTTTTTGCAAATCTGTGTTATGGAAACGATGTTCATGCCTGCTCAGAAGCTAAATGAATGAATACAAAACTTAATACAAGCAATGAACTGGCTAACATTTTGAAGATCAGTGACAAATTTATATAGACTATTAGAAATAGGCCAGGCACGATGGCTCACACCTGTATTCCCAGCACTTTGGGAGGCTGAGGCGGGTGGATTACCTGAGGTCAGGGGTTTGAGACCACCCTCACCAACATGGTACAACCCCGTCTCTACTAAAAATACAATAATTAGCCAGGTGTGGTGGTGCAAGGCTGTAATCCCAGCTACTTGGGAGGCTGAGGGAGGAGAATAGCTTGAACCTGGGAGGCAGAGTTTGCAGTGAGCTGAGATTGTGCCATTGCACTCCAGCCTGGGCAACAAGAGTGAAACTCTGTCTCAAAAAAAAGAGAAAAAAAGAAAAAGAAATACTGGTTGAGGTAGGTATATATCTTAAAATCCAAGACTATACATATGCAAATATATTTACATTTTTATATGCAAATATATCACAGGATATATTTGAAAGCCGTTTTGAAAAGAAGCGTTGGCTTATCTTTGAAATAAGGTTATTATTACTATTTTTAGACAAGGTCTCACTCTGTCACCCAGGCTGGAGTACAGCGGCACAATCACAGCTCACTGAAGCCTTGACTTCCCTGGGCTCAAGTGATCCTCCCACTTCAGCCACCTGAGTAGCTGTGTCTACAGGAACACGCCACCACACCTGGTTAATTTTTTTAATTTTTGTAGAAACAGTCTTGCTATGTTGCCCAGGCTGGTAGCAAACTCCTAGGTTCAGCTATCCTCCCGCCTTAGCCTCCCAAAGTGCTTGAGTTAGTTACAGGTGTGAATCACCATGCCTGGCTGAAATAAGATAATTATACAATTTTTATCAGCTATTGTCTTGTTTATATGCTCCAGAGTAACACTATCCAATAGAACTTTCTGTGGTGAGAGAAGTATTCGCTCTCTGCATTGTCCAGTAGGGGCATCCCTGGCTACCTGTGGGAACTGAGCCCTCCAAATGGTGGCCAGCATGACTAAGAAACTCAATTCTTAACTTTTTAAAATTTAGGCCGGGCATGGTGGCTCATGCCTGTAATCCCAGCACTTTGGGGGACTGAGGTGGGTGGATCACCTGAGGTCAGCAGTTTGAGACCAGCCTGGTCAACAGGGTGAAACCCTGTCTCTACTAAAAATACAAAAATTAGCTGGGCACAGTGGCGAACGCCTGCAATCCTAGCTACTTGGGAGGCTGAGGCAGGAGAATCACTTGAATATGGGAGGCAGAGGTTGCAGTGAGCTGAGATCACACCACCGCACTCTGGCCCAGGCGACGAGAGCAAAGCTCCATCTCAAAAAAAAAAAAATCAAACTAATTTAAATACAAAACAGCCCTGTGTGGCCAAGGTCACCTAACTGGGAGCACAACGCATCTCAGAGGAGTAAATGTCTTCCTTGCTTCACCAACATCCTACATCTTTTTTTTTTTTTTTGAATACAGTCTCGCACTGTTACCTGGGCTGGGGTGCAGTGGTGCGATCTCGGTTCACTGCAACCTCCGCCTCCCAGGTTCAAGCGATTCTCCTGCCTCAGCCTCTCAAATAGCTGGGACTACAGGCATGTGCCACCACACCCGGCTAATTTTTTGTATTTTTTAGTAGAGATGGGGTTTCGTCACATTGGTCAGGCTGGTCTCGAACTCCTGACCTTGTGATCCACCCGCCTCGGCCTCCCAAAGTGCTGGGATTACAGGCTTGAGCTACTGCACCCGGCCCACCCTCTGTCTTTACAACTCTGCTCAAAGGCCATCTCAGGGCCCCACAGCAGCAGCACATACTCCGTGCATAGTGCTTCAACAGAGCTTTCTGCATTTCTTTGTCTTAGAACTTAGCCACTAAACAGAAACTGTACAAGTGTCAACCTCCCCGGCAGGTAATCTGTAATCTACACAAAGATAGGACAGTGTTTCACTCATCTTTGTCGCCTCAGCATCCAGCAAATCATGTTTGGATCAGTACCTGATCCATTATGGGTCCTCATTTCATTTTTATGAAATGAATAAACAGAAAGAGGCTCTGGGCAGCTGATGAAATAGGGAAGTTCTAAATGAAAATTTAACAATGATGGAAACCTATTCTTTTGTCTGCTATTTATTTTCTTATTCATACTCATAAAAGCCATTTCAGTCTTCTAGAAATCCTAGCTAAGTCATATAGATAGCATTTCTAATAATGTAATTTCAAGGGCATCTGATCAAGTCAGTCACATGGCACCCTCACGATTTACAGCTGCAACTCATCTGCTCACTCACCTTCAAACAGAAACCACTGGTTAGGAAGCCTCAGAATGAAAGCTTCATTGTGCGGCAAACTTAAAAACAACACAAAACATAGTAGACTTACCATCGCCAACATCAAAGTCCTTGAAAGCCAGTTCTGAACCTGAATCATCAAGAAGGATTTCACCATTCAGTGTGAACATCATGGTGTGTTCGTTCATGTCAACCATACAGCCCACGACATCGCCTGCTTGCCAAGAGCGCCCATAGTGTTCGTTGCCCTGATGCCACCGCTGGGCCTATACAGAGGACAGAAAAGTCCCTTGTCACAGACTAAGACAGGAAAATAGCACCCACCCACCACTCTGTCACTACTTAACAGCAGCGCCTTCTATTAACACAACAGCAGGAGAAACTGCAGCTGGCATATCTGTCTACTGCAATGTCCTAAGCAAAATGGAGCTGTCTGGGAATTCTAAATTCCTACCTAATATTAACATGGTATATTATTGAATCTTGAAAAAAAATCCAAAAGCTATTTCATAATTTTGAGAGCCCATTATTTTAAAAAATCTAATCTCACGTACTTTCTGCTGAAAGAAAACTTATATGCCTTTAGAATATATTCTTTTTCTGCGACAATGAATGTTTCCCAGAATATGGTTTGTTTTTCTCTCCTCCCACAAATACAAATAATTATGAGCTAGGGAATCAAGCTGGGCATCTGTCATTGAAAATGATAGTGTAATTTTCATCTATTTCAAAATAAAATTTCATTCCTTAGAACTGATGGCACAGATATTTCAACAAAATGGAAATCTAGAAGCATTTCAGTGACATACTAAAAGTAAAAATGCTTCAAATCAAACCTAAAAATATCCTTAGGATATCTGCTGAAGTAACAAGCCAAAAATTGAATACAGATGCCAACCTTTTCTTCTATATACATAAAGTGAAATCTCATATTGTAAGTACATTTGAAACACAGTTTTGATAAATGTGACTTTTGGATCTACAAGCATATTCCACTGATTTATAGGTACACCTGAGTTATGTGAATTATTTTGTCAGATAAATCTTTTGACTTTTTCTTAAGCCTCACCTTCATTGTGAATTGGTATGTTACCGGACAGAGTCGCCAATGCAGAACAACGACATAATTCTTCTCAATATAACACACTGTCTTTTTTAAAAAGTTTACATCAGGTATCAAAAGGCATAAAATGCCCAACCCACTTACCTGGCTGTAGTGTTCGCCTTCCAACCCCACCCACCCCATGCCTGTTCCCAAATCGGGAGTATCCTTTCTTGCCTATAATTCGATTGGGAGTAAAGGTTATTTTAACTTTCCTCAGGATACTTCCCACTCTGGTTCATTACATCTGATCTTCAGGAGATATAAACCTAAAGCTGCCTTTTATCTGTTATTTTATTTTTTTAAGTTTAAAGTTTGCTAATTTTGACCCCCCAAAAAAAGTGTTAAAATTTTCTATTTGAAATTTTTTAAAAAACTAGATTCAGGAAATGTGATGTTTCAGAACTAAGTGGGTCAACTGCCCTAATTTCAAGCCTAGAAAGGCTTTCCTCACAGGACATTTCACACCAAGAAGTATCCAAATGTCAAATCTCTTCACGATTGCTTATTTATTCCAATTTTATTTTTCTTAGTTAAAAAGTAGCTTTTCCCCCCTCATGTGAAAAGGAATATAAATTCACTTAAAAAATAAAAAATAAAAACAAGACTTTAAAAAATCTATGATTTTACCAATCAAAAGTGACTATTATTATCTTATTGTGGCTATAATCATATACACACTGTTATTGTTATTTTTTTGTTTGTTTTGAGACAAGGTCTCAATCTCTTGCCCAGGCTGGAGTGCAGTGGTATGATCATGGCTCACTGCAGCCTCGACCTCCCGAGCTCAAGCAATCCTCTCATCTCAGCCTCCTAAGTATTGGGTGAAACTCTGTCTCAAAAAAAAAAAAACAAAAAACCATGCTTGGCTAATTTAAAATTTTTTTTGTAGAGACAGGATCTTACTTTGTTGCCCAAGCTGGTCTTGCATTCCTAGCCTCAAGTGATCCCTCCGCCTCAGCCTCCCAAAGTGCTGGGATTACAGGCGCCTGGCCCACATTACTAATCAAAATATTTTACATATAAAAAAAATCTTTAAACATTTATAAATATATAAATAACAAAATAAACACCTGACCAGCTTCCATCCAACTTAATAGAAATTACTAATAATGTTGAAAATGAAAACCATTTGTGATTATAAACAACACTGCTTTAAGCATTGTAGCTATTAAATGTTTATACAAACATACCATTAATTATAGCTTAAACTCCTGACATGGAATCGCTGTATCAATGTATATGCATTTTTCCTCTATATATGTATCTTTAACATTTTGATAGACAAAGATGATTTATCTTTTGATAACCATGGAAAAGCAATGTCTTACTTGGTGAATTTCACCATATTCATGTGTTGTGGGGACAGGTTTTGAGACTACGAGGACAAAAGCTTTTCTATGAAATATTTTTTCCATGTTTGTGCTGTGGAAAATACTGGTATTGTGATGCTACCAAGAGGAACAGCAGAGGAGACAAGCCTCCAGCATGCACGGATGACTGGTACAGGGCAAAGTCCACTCACCTTGAAGCCATCAAAGGCAAAGGCACGTTCATCCGAGCCGAGCTCCTGATCCGGTTGACAACCAGGCCGACTCCAACCAACTCTCATGTCTCCAGCAGTGACCGTCTCAAATTCAAAATACCACCGTCCCGCCTTCACTGCGTAAGTCTTCTCAGCACGGAAGATTCGGAACCTTTCCCCAGTGCCGCTGCACACTTCGGCTCTGGCTGCTGGGAAATGGACAGAGATTTCTGGTAGTCATTGCATGGGGAAGTGAAAGAGAAGGAAAGATAACATAAATAACAGAAGGAAAGATACACCATGACTTTAGTAACTCAACCTTCTGGGATGATGATAATGATACCTTCTTATCTTTTTTTCCATTTTACCAAGTGCTTTCTTATCTAGGACCAGCCACTGTCAGACCAGCTGGGTGAAGTGGAAAGCGCCAGGGCTTGTGCTGAGAGACTGGGGAATGAGCCTCAGTAATGCTGCCAGGGTTGGTGGCGTTCCCTCCGTCAGCCTCATTTTCAGGAGGGAACAACCTTTCTGTAGAACAAAACCCAAAAGTGCCTTGGTGCTTTGGTTGTGGAGGAAGAGATGGCAAGAAGACAATAAGAAAAAAGATCTGAACTGCTCTGCATAAGAAATGAATAGACATTTATGGGTGAGAGAGAAGAGGGAAGATGAAGCAAGGAAGAGAAAAGAAACAGAAATAAGGGAAAGTTGTAAACAGTGGAGAAAAGTAACAATAGTATCAACAGTAAAAATTTCCCTACAGGATGGTGATGGCTAAGGAACTCAAATGTGATGCAAAATTTTTCCATTCTCGCGTACATCTTCACTGTGATCTGCTATACACACAAATGCCGTATTTAAAAGATCTAGGGGAAAAAATAAAAAGGTCAGCATCCAACATTAGGACCAGTGTGATGCAAAAGGGGGCAAAGTATCTGTAGGAAAGGAGATGCAGGTGAGACTGAGAGAGACAGAGGGGGAAGCCTCAGACTGAGGAACCCAGAGCCAGAATGACGATGAGAAGGTAGGTCCCTCTGAAATCACAGGAGAGCGGAATGAGTGTTCATTGAATTGATATCTCAAAGAAGGTGGTCACCTCAGCTAAGATCTGAGTTAGATGCAGAGGAGGAAAGTTCAAACTTGACCAACATCACCCAACTAAAAATGGTGGAATTCGGGAGCTGCTTCATGTTACAGCCCCTCTTCTTCCTACTTTGCCTCCAATAGCTGGGACACAGTTACTAGGTACTGGTAAAATGCTAGTTCTCAGCCAAGTATGGTGGCTCACAGCTGTAGTCCCACACTTTGGAAGGCCAAGGTGGGAGGATCGCTTGAGCCCAGGATTTTGAGACCTGCCTGGGCAACATAGTAGGACCCTGTCTCTATAAAGAGTTTAAAAATTTGGCCAGACATGGTAGTGCATGCCTGTAAGTCCAAGCTCCTGAAAAGGCTGATATGGAAGGATCACCTGAGCCTGGAAGGTCGACGCTGCAGTGAGCTATGGTCATGCTACTGCACTGCAGCCTGAGTGACAGAGTGAGAGCCTGTCTCGGAAAAAAAAAAAAAAAAGAAAGAAAGAAAGAAAGACAGAAACAAGTTCCTATTTGTCTCTCCTTAAGATTTCGGAAAGACCTTATGCATAATAAAAATTTAATAACAGTTCAATCATTGACTTGGCATGATCAAATTAGAACTATAAAAATAATCTATACAGGTCGGGCGCGGTGGCTCACGCCTGTAATCCCAGCACTTTGGGAAGCCGAGGTGGGCAGATCACAAGGTCAGGAGATCGAGACCATCCTGGCTAACACCGTGTAACGTCCTCTCTACTAAAAGTACAAAAAATTAGCTGGGCGTGGTGCAGGTGCCTATAGTCCCAGCTACTCCGGAGGCTGAGGCAGGAGAATGGCGTGAACCCGGGAGGTGGAGCTTGCAGTGAGCCGAGATCGCACCACAGCCTGTTCAAGCTTTTTATGCCTTGACTTTTTTAAATGTCAGCAACAGCAGTAAATAGACGTATTATAATTAATGCTTTTTTAATCTCATCTTAAGTGATAATCAGACTGATTTTTGCTTATGCTATAAAATCCCTCTAACATCTATCTTTTATTGGTGTTTTTGGCCCACGCAGATCCTTGTGTCAAAAAAAATTTTTGCGTAAAAGCCTCCAGACTGGTCTGACAGAACACATCTCAGCACGTGCCGTCCCTCCAATCTGTCTTCCCACTTGTTGCAATCAGTTATTTGCTTTCGTCTCAAACTGTTATACACCACATCAGTAGCTCTGTTTAAAACTTCCTGGGGCGTGGTTACTCTTTATACAGAATTTATCCACATTTCTTAGCTGAGTGTTCAACAAATATTCCACTAATTTTGTCTAATCCTTCTACCCTTCATGCTAAATGTCTGTTCTCTCTCGGACCATCTGTACGAGCTAGTATTTTATCTAAAGTGGAGGTTCTCTACCCTTCGTCCGCCAACCTCCGCGGTTCTTATACTTTCATATCGAGATGTAACTTTCTTTCTAGAACAATACGTTTCTGAACATATCGTGTCTACAAATATTGAAGATTATATATAAGAATCCTTTCAACAAATCTACACTCGCTGACGACATTTTTCCCTTTACTGAATATCACCGATCCTACTTCACATCTGACCGAACGCTTCCCTTTAATGATTCCCTCCAAAGGAAACATGTACATCCTGTTCTCTTTATGTCTTTTTTCCATACAGATCCCTGCGTCCTTACTATGAAAGCATGCTGTTATATTCTGGTATAGAGATAAGTGAAACAATAGAACCGTAATCATCACGCTTCTAATGTAGGAGATATGCCACTCTATTCCGTTGCTCACCTGTTCACATAACTATTAGTAAGAATCACCTTGTCCAAACAACTGTCCAGTGGCTCTGATCTCTAAATTCTTAAAAATACAGAGACTTGTGTGAATCAACTATTTTTTGTCCTTCCTTGATATTTCTCCATTTTCTTATCAACATAATCACCTCTTCCCAAACTAATGTAGAGTTTACCTTCAATACAAAATCTTCATCCCTTCCTTAAACCTATATGAACTTTCCATACCTTGTCTTCCGCCGTTATTAGCTTTTTCCCTACCTGCTCCTGTTAACCCAATTGACTGTCCAAATTCGCTACCTTCACTGGTGAAGCATCGTGTACCTGCTCTGACTGAGTTTGGCAGAAAGACACAATTGCACAGAGACAGACTGCGGCGCACGCAACCCACCATCACCAGTCTCCAACCTCAAACCAGCGACCCGACTCAGTGTTTGCTCCACAATGTGCTTTCTGTTTGGGACAGCTTGCTCTCTGTTCATCCCAGCAAAACAGAGCAATCTTTTAATCTTTATTGCTGAGTAACATAGCAGAAATGGGTAGAGCAAAAAGAACGTTCAAAAACTCTTCTCTCCACAAATCTATGCAGAACGACTGGCAAAAAAATTAAGCTGCAAAAGTGGAAATTTTCACAGCTTCCAGAAAACTTAAGAGGGCTAGCAAGAGCCAGGGAGTGTTTACTTTGACAAAAATGTCCAAATGTCTGGTAAGAACCAGCAAAGCTATTGACTGTCATTGAATTGTCTTCCTGCCCATCACACCCTCTCTTCTAATTCCAAGGCATATTGAAACCAACAGCCCCTCGAATCATAGTGACAATCAGCCACCCACAAGCCCTTGTAAGTGGCGCAGACAGAGCCTGGGTTCATCCAAAGCCCAGTTCCCGAGATAAGCTGTCAGTATGATGGTCTCCCTTTTCTGGAAAATTCCATTGGTAAGATTTGTTTTAATCCACGTTGACCTAAAGCCTTGCCCGTGCAAATAGTCACTCTCTCCAAGCCGACATGTTGCTGAAAATCCGATCTGATGGCGAAGTTTGTTAGCGCCTTGCAGCCTCTGTGAGCGAGCAATAACAGCTTTGAGGCAAACAACATCACTGACCAAGAAAGCTGTTGAAAACAGGAAAGCGTGGGGAATGAAAGTATTCATAGTGGCCGATGTGAGAAGCTCCACATAATTCCGTGGGACTCTAGAAGACATGCTCATGGCCAAGCTTCGCATCCGTATTCACGCCCCCCGAAACAAGCTTACCCTCTGAAGAGACCTTGAGGCTCTGCACAGTGCAGTAAGAGGAAGGCGTAAGTGGTGAAATTGGGTGAGTTGCCTGGCTGAGT